AGAGCTCTGGAGTCCTAGCAGCTCAGGAAACCACAGCTTTTGAACAAGCTGTACATGTACGGGTTAGACACGGCTAGTAAGAAGGGAGAAGGGTTTATTTCATTGCAGGACATGCCTTGGAGGACTTCAAAGACAAAAGAGAAATATGCTTGCGTTAGTGCTCAGAGTGGCTGAATTCTTGGGGTTGGAAGTGGGGGAGGGAGATGGTGCAGGGGTCCCTTTCTCCCTCCCTCTCTTCTCAAGACCTAGACCTTCCTTCCGACACTGTTGGTTAACCAACAACGTGGTGTGGCGACGGTGGGCTCGGTGGTGAAAGGAGGCCCCGTGACGGGGTGGGCATGGAGGGGAGAGGCAGGGCAGGGTGAGACCACCGGGTGGGCCGCGCTCCCAACTCTCAGACAGACTGTTTTTCACAGTGAGGCATGCACACAGCCGTACTGAACAGATGTTACTTTATGACTGAAAGCCTTTTCCCCTCGTTTTTGAAAAAAATCAACAGGAGAGGAAAAACAATGCCGCTGCCTCCTCTGCCCCCCAAAAGGAAGGCCCGGTCTGTTCTCCTCGTCATAATAGAATTTTCATCACATCAGGACACGCACTGTGATTTAACCTCCAACCCCTCAACCCGGCAGTCCTGGGGAAGCAGCTCATGCTTTGTGTATGTGGAGTTGTTCTAGGCAGCCCACGCCCATGACCCCTGGTTTAATTCTAACAGCAACTTCGAAAGATATCCCTGTTAGCATTATCTATCATTCGCACTTTACAGGTGGAGAAACTGAGGCTCGGAAGAGTGAAGGACTTAACAGAGGACACCCAGTAGGTAAATGTAAACCCAGGCAGCCTGGTTCTGGAGTCACCTGGAGCCACTCACTGCTCTAAACTGCCCTGAACACACCATGGGGCCCAGAGCAGTGGCTACAGACACTGAGACACACACCCAACAGTAACCCTCCTCTGCTCAGAGGCTAGCAGTACACAGCAGAACTCGGTTGCATGTCTTTGGTCGATGGAAGAAAATGTAAAAGGCAAGAATTCTCTTCACCGTCTCTTTTAACTCATTATCTGAAAACCACCGCTTTCAAAACTAAATGGTAAAAAGCAGGACTTGGAGCCCAGGCGACATAGCGAGACTTTGTTTCTACCAAAAAAAAAAAAAATCAAATAAAAAAATTAGCCAGGAGTGGTGGCGTGCGCCTGTTATTCCAGCTCCTTGGAAGTCTGAGGTGGGAGGATCACCTGAGCCCAGGAGGTCAAGGCTGTGGTGAGCCATGATCGTGCCACTGCATTACAGCCTGGGCAACACAGTAAGACACCCCCACTCAAATAACAAAACAAAACAAAAACAAAAACCTGGAACAAATTCAAGTTCATTTCAGGAGCATGTTAAAAAATAATAATCATGGCCGGTTGTTCTTTTTACCTTCCTCCAAATAAAAGTCAACTCTGATATACATGTATGAACAAAACTCTGGTAACACAAGTCAAGGCCGGGACCCATGTGGAACCATTCTCAATCAACCTCGAGTTTACCATTTCCTGCAACCTCACAGGGAAACTGGCTGCTAATCTTTATATACAAGTGTATTGACTTAAGACCAAAAAAAGGCACTTAAATCTGTGTTTAAACAAGCCTAATGAAGTGGGAAATTAAGACCATCATTTGGATAATCTAAGCCAAAAAATGTTGGGGGCCAGAATGATTTGGGTATTCCAGTAAAAGCATTTTTGCTTGAATTGTGTGGATAATTACCCTGATTCTCTACTTCGCTTTGCATGTGTCAACACAGAATAAATGAACAGATGCTCTTGGAGTCACTGCATACATTTATATTCAGTCAGCTAGCAGGAGCAAACTTAGACACTTCAGTTGACTAATATTTCCTAGATATTTTAAAGAACAAAGAAGTCAAGAAAGGTACTTTAAAGCAGAATATGTTTATGAAATAATGTGAAATGTGATTAAGCATTTAAAGTTTACTTCATATGCCAAATCAAAAAATGGTCAAAATGAGGCCAGGCATGGTGGCTAATGTCTATAATCCCTGCAGTTTGGGAGGCTGTGGTGGGGGAATTGCTTGAGCTCAGGAGTTTGAGACCAGCTGGGGCAACATAGTGAGACCGCGTCTCTTAAAAAAAAAAAAAAACACAAATTAGCTAAGTGTGGTGGCATGTGCCTGTAGTCCCAGCTACTTGGGAGGCTGAAACAGAAGGATCGCCTGAGCCTGGGAGGTTGAGGCTGTGGTGAACTAAAATTGTGCCACTGCACTCCAGCCTGGGTGACAAAGTGAGAACCGAACTCAAAACAACAACAAATGGTCTAAATGAACCTGAATGTAAATGATGGACTCTGGGTAGAGATGCTTCTAGCAAAGGAGGCTGTGCATGTGTGAGGGTGAGGTACGGGAAGATATGGGATACAGGCAATCTTGGTGCCGTCGGCTCGTTTTTGCCATGCCCCTGACATAGCTGTAAAAATAAATCAATGAGAAATAGACAAATATTTTTTTAGAAGATGGTCAAAATATGGAACTCTGAATTACATCCACTGCTGATCGGAAACCCGTAATTTGACAGTGAGTCAGCCTAGAAATCCTACCAACACATGGCCACCAAATCAGCCACCATCTTCCCAAAAGGAAAGAACCACAAGAAGCATCTCTCTGCTCCAGATTTTATAACATGCTTTCCCGTGCTGGAATGTGTACTCATGTATTCTTATGCAAATTCCTGAGTCATTCGTTCAAATTATTTGCATCGCTTTCTAGGTGAAAGACAGACCTGGGGGGGCTGCAGGAGAAGCCGTCTAGGTGAGAATTTTGAGTACACGTAGCAGTCAGTGGAGTACACCCGTGTCACATGGTGACTTAACACGACCACGAATGACGTGAACGCGCCAGACTTGTGGATGTGGAAACACACGGACGACCCAAAGGACACCGACTCCCCTGCAGAGCCTTACCCTGGAGCCAGTCTCTGAAGTAGTGCAGCCACATTTTGGGAAGCTGTCTGTTTTCTTCCAGCATGACGTACTTCACGTTACTGAAACTCTTGTGAAGGTCATAAAGCAAGTGCTGGATATTCGGGTAGTCTGCTTTCTGGGTGACTATATACATGTTGTAGAAAGAAAAGTATTTGAACTGTGCCGCGATAAAGTCATATTCCCTGGTTTCCCGAGGCACGATGTCTGTCAGGTCCAGCCCGTCTCTCACCCGGGTGGTCCCATAGAGGCTGACCCCCAGCAAGCCCAGGAAAAGGAAGATCACCACGACCTGAGGCAGAAGGAGAGGCACAAGGTCAGACGCAGAGGATCATCACTGATTCTTTCTCGACAGAGACAACCTATTTAGTGAACGCCTCGTTTTCACCACCAAACTGGCCCTGACTTAGCACAGAGGGGTCGTTCTTCCATAGGAAAAAGGATAACAATCATAGTGATTGCATCTTTAACCAGCCTCATTCATAAAAACACCTGCTATAAAGTAATTCACTCCCGTAGAAAAGCAGCTCATGGGCTCAGCCTGTAATCCCGCGCCTTTGGGAAGCTGAGGTGAGTGGACTGCCTGAGCCTGCAGGTTCCAGACCCGCCTGGGCCACTTGGCGAGACCTCATCTCTACAATAAATCAAAAAATTAGCCGGGCATGGTAGCACGCGCCTGTAGTTCCAGCTACCTGGAAGGCTGAGGCGGAAGGATCGCCAGAGCCCAGCAGGTCGAGGCTGCGGTGGCCGGGAGTGGCCACTGCACTCCAGTCTGGGTGATGGAGTGAGATGCCAACTCAAAACAAAAACAAAAACAAAAATGGCCCCAGAGGCCTGAAGTATATCACACTTACCTATTTTTTTAATGGAAAAAGAAGAAAAGTAGAAGCGATCTGATGAATTCCAAAGACTGCTATTTTATTTTATTTTTTGAGTTGGAGCCTCACTCCTTTGCCCGGGCTCGGGCAATTCACTCGCCTTGGCCTCCCAAAGTGCTGGGATGGCAGGCTGAGCCCGGCCAAGACTGCTATTTTTTGAAGATGGGGAGGGGTGGGGTAGATCTTAGCGTCATGGTGCTCACCTTGGCTTTTGGTTTCAAAAGAAACGGTGCGTAGTGCTTCTCAGCAAAAGATGAGAGTGTCCACTTGGTACAGGGGGGCTCAAGGCAGTGAAGGCTGGAGTCAGAGAACTGGGACAGCAGATCGCGTGTGGAGCTGGTGCTCTCTGGGCTCTGGCAGCTGAGGGTATCCTGGGTCACAGTGACGGGCTGCACGGAGATCTCAGAGCGCGGCTCGGCGGTGGTGTAGTAGACATGTGTGTGGGGGTCGTACTCGGTCCGGAGCTGCACAGTGGACTGCATGGTGATCTGCGTCTCGTGGGCAAAGCTGTGGCTGCTGTACGGGGGTGGGGGGCTGTAGCGGGTGCTGCCGTGCGCCTCTGTGTAGGCCTGAGGTTCCACCTGAATCACCCTGCTGACACAGGGGCTGGAAGAGAGGAAGGACACTGCGGCGTCATGCTCAAGCAGGGAAAGAGTGCTTGCGGCTGTGCCAGTGGCCGAGAGCGTCCGCCTCGTGTAGCTCTGACTTAGGAGAGAGACGTCCTCTCACTAAGTTCCAAAAACGTCCCTCGCTTGAGGCGGACATGGTCACAGGAAGGCCAAGGAGGCCGCACGGAGGACTGATCCCAGATTCGGCTTACGAAACGCAAGTGACATGCTGGTGATGCCCTTCAAATCGTCATTCCATGCCTGAGTCTGCGGGTTCGAGACCCACCTGGGTAACTTGGCAAGACCTCATCTCTACAATAAATCAAAAATTAGGCGGGCGTGGTAGCACGTGCCTATAATTCCAGCTACCTGGGCTGAGGCAGAAGGATTGCCGGAGCCCAGCAGGTTGAGGCTGCGGTGGCCGGGAACGTGCCACTGCACTCCAGTCTGGGTGACAGAGTGAGACTCCAACTCAAAAAAAAAAAAAAAATCGTAATTCCAAATGGAACAAAACAGAGCCACTGCCATGGGACCACAGTTCTCCTAGACAGGTGGTTCTGCTCACATGCAGAGATACGGAACACAGCCCCCAAACTGGCCACACTGGCTCATGATGAAAAAAAAGGGTCATGGGCATCAGAATCTCGGAGGTTTTGAGAATGTTCAGTTGGGAGAGGGGAGAAGCCGGGGACCAGGGAAGCGCCTCTGTCCGGCATCTCCCGTTCGTCCACACCCCCCGCCCCCCGCACAAGCCTCGTGAAATACATTCCCTTTTAAGCCCATGGATGGAGTTTTCGGACAGTACTACTCTGTACCCAACCAACAAAGGCCACAGCAGTCTGAAACGCACCTTGTAAAACAGCAGAAAATATCCAACCTTCTGTCCTCACGTCGGTATAAATCCATGCTGAGAATTGCAGGAAAGATGAGCAGAACCATGGCAAAATTGAAGACCACAACCACTGCCGCCTGGGAGGAAAAACAAAATCCAGGTCACCAAGCACGCCTCCTTCCAATCAGAGAACCGTGCTGAAAATAAAGATGCTTTTAAACAATACTTTTGTTTCACTTTCCTACTGCGGTGTTTAAAGCTGAGACAGATGTTAGAGTTTCTTACTATTCTGCTGCTTTTCCATCATTAAGAGACCATCTGACTGGAATGGGCTCCCCTCATTCTGGCCCCTTCCATCTTGACTAATGCTATGAACCCATAAGGCACAAACACAGGAACTAAACAACTGGTCTTGGTAGCAACCTAACCAACCCACATCTACTAAGGTAGAACATAGAATACACGCGAGATGTTTTAATTGAAGACAAAAGGAACACTTTCCTCACCAGAAAATCTCAAAAGAGTTCGTGCAAGCCTGATTTTACACTTAAAAATCTGTATATAAAGTGGAGCGACTATATCAGAATGCCACCTTTAAAACATGAAATAAAATTTCACACACGTCCCCTGAGGTTTTTAATAGGCACATTCCAAATAGCCTCTGGAGTCGCCCGTGGGGTGTGCGAGTGAGCCACACAAAAGGTCAAGGGGAGTTAAGCAGAGAAACATTCCTGTGTGTGATTATAGTACGCAGAATAAATAGTACAGATTCAAAAGTCACTCCATAACCCAGAATCAACACAGGGCTAGATTCTGGAGTGCTTTGGCAAATCTCCTGCTGACCTAGTAAAAATTACAAAATTGGGCTGTTAATAGAGTAAAGTCAACAGAGGACAGTGGAGCGGTCTATCCCGTCCGGCTGAGCAGATCCAGAAGCAGCATAATAGAAAAATGCAACTGGAATGCTAAGGAACCGAGAAAGAATCAGAAATGGTTTTGAAAATGAAAAGCTCATGAGGATGCTCAAAGGACTGCTTAGTTCAAAAACCTCAAACTGTGTAAAGGTCTCAGCAAGAAAAGAAATGCCGGCTATAACCGGTACCTGACAAAATCAAGGCAGAACTTCACAAAGGGCTTTTGATAGTAATTGTAAATTTATGCTCCAGGTGAAACAGCAGGCCTGCGTTCTAGAGAGATGCCGTCCAAGAATTAATCCCCTATCAAGTCTACAAAACCATAAAACAACTAAGAGCCTCCATCTAAAAATTGCCAAACCCCTTTCTTCTTAGTCTGTCTTGAAAATCCCTCATCAATTCAAAAATAGGAAGTGTATTAGCTTCCCACTCGAATGTATACAAGGGACTTTGTCTGATGGGTCCACACGAATAAGCACCTCACTACTGTGACCTAAGAATTGATCCAAGAGATACATGCTTTAAAAAGTCAAGTCTAGCTGGGCTCGGTGGCTCAGCCTGTAATCCCGTGCCTTTGGGAGGCTGAGGTGAGTGGATTGCCTGAGCCCGCGGGTTCGAGACCCGCCTGGGCAGCGAGACCTCATCTCTACAATAAATCAAAAAATCAGCCGGGCGTGGTAGCACGTGCCTGTAATTCCGGCTACTAGGAAGGCTGAGGCGGAAGGATCGCCGGAGCCCAGCAGGTCGAGGCTGCGGTGGCCGGGAGCGGCCACTGCATTCCAGTCTGGGCGACAGAGTGAGATTCCAAGTCAAAAAAAAAAAGTCAAGTCTAGAGCCGAGCTCAGTGGCTCAGCCTGTAATCCTGCGCTTTGGGAGGCTGAGGTGAATGGATTGACTGAGCCCGCGGGTTCAGGACCCGCCTGAGCAACTTGGCGAGATCTCATCTCTACAATAAATCAAAAAAATCAGCCGGGCGTGGTAGTACATGCCTCTAATTCTGGCTACTTGGAAGGCTGAGGCGGAAGGATCGCCGGAGCCCAACAGGTTGAGGCTGCGGTGGCTGGGAGTGGCCACTGCACTGCAGTCTGGGTGACAGAGTGAGACTCCGACTCAAAACAAAACAAAAAAGTCAAGTCTAGCACTGTGTTGGGTGCTGGAGACACAAAGACAAAATCCTGCTCTTGGGGGTTGACACAGCCAGACCTATAAACAAATAACAACCTGGGCTGCTGAATGCAATCATAAAAGCAAGCGCCAGGTTGCAGGGCAGCTCGGAGGAGGGAGAGAGCAAGGGAGGGGAGAGTAGTCATCAAGGAAGGTTTCATGGGAGATGTTTCAACAGGGTGTAGGAGATGGAAAAGAGGTCAGGCAGAAGCAGGGAGAGGACAGATTTCCATGTGGAGAAAACAGGATGGGGACACCCGGCTCGAGTCACTCAGTACTACCGGGATTTCAAATTCAGAAAGGAGAAGTGACAGAGATCAGGTAGTTCAGACCTGACTCCCTCAATTGCCACGGCAACCAGGCGGCCCTTCTTACGGCTGTTGATGCTACTATTACCTAAGAAAGACCCCGAGGTACAGAGCATGTCACCTGCCTGCAGTTATCCAGGAAATCGGATTCAAATGGAGGCTTGATGCAAAGCCCTCACCCAACCCAAAACTGAGAGCTCTGGTCAGATCTGGTCAATTCCTGAGGGAATGTGTGCAGACTGGGTTAGGATTCATGACCAATCGGACAACAAGGCATGCTGGGAAGAACAGGTGTGCCTCTACAGATTTTCCAGGAAAATGTAATCCTGGGGCTGAAGGCTTTTGGCTTGTTACATTACAGTCATGCTTAGAAGTTAGAAGCAGAACTTGGAGAAGCAGCCCTAGGCATCTCACTTTGTTTTTCATGAGTTGGGGGTCTCACTCTGTTGCCCAGGCTTGAGTACAGTGGCATTATCATGGCTCACTGCAGCCTTAGCCTCCTGGGCTCAGGTGATCTTCTCGCCTCAATCTCCACAGTAGCTGGGACTACAGGCATATCCCACCATGCCCAGCTAATTATTTTTTGTAGAGAAAAGGTCTATGTTACTCAGGCTGGTCTAGAACTCCTGGACTCAAGCAATCCTCCTGCCTTGGCCTCCCAAAGCACTGGGAATATAGGTGTGAGCCACCACACCTGGCCAATCACTTTGGACAGTTCCTGAGAACGAGGGAAGAGACTCTGTGAAAGAGAAAGCCACACACATGCACACACAGTGCTAGCCTGGCTGACAAAGCTGCTCGCCATGGTGGCTGGGGAGTTTCTCTGATACCAGAGACGTCTGATGGCACCTTGCTGTGTCTCCCATGATGGCAACAGAGGGAAGAGACAAAAATATAGGTATGAGAGAAGAACCCCAAAAGCAGCGTTCCATTCAACTGACTTTCTGAAAACAAAGTAGTGGAAATTCAACATCTCCAAAAGCACACCAAAATAATCAAAAGAAACAGCAAGGACTTCTCAGTAAGGGAAAAGGGTCACCACAGAAGCAAAAGGGAGTTTACGAAATTCTAAGTCAACTAGAAACAAAGATGAGAATGGCCTTACACAGCGAGTCAATTCAGTTACTGAGCTTGAGGGAAATGTCCCATGCCCCCAAAGTACCTGTGGCTGAGAAACCTTGAAGAGGGGACCCCAGTCTAAACTCTCTTGCCATTTGGAACAAGGGGTTCTTTTCTTGGAGCTTTCAGTGAAGAAGAAATATCACGGGGCTACCGGCAACCTCTGGTATGGGGCACTGGTCCCCAAGTATTAGATGGTGCCAATGCGTTCCGGTCTAGAGGTGGCATTGGGACAGACTGCATACGGGTTGATATGGAGGTTTAAGACAATTTCTTTGGGAGAAAAGAAAATCTTTATTTTAGCCAGGCTACAAAATGGGAGATTTTGTACGGGGAAAATTCTGAAGGTATCCTAGGTTTACTACTGGACAGACCTACTTTGGGCTTTCCCTCTTGATACTTAATCTGTAGCATTCTGCAAATATAAACACAAATGAATACCCAGAGCCACAGCTTCACACGGGTCACACTGCAGGAAAGAGAAGCCACAAAATGGTCCATTTCGAATGTCAATCCACCGAAAAGGGAACCAGGTCAACATCTCTGACAGCCGTCACAAAAATCATCGATCGCTCTCACTCGCCTTTCGTTTTTCCTTATTCCATTTTCTTCCCCTTTTCTGGCAGAGCATGAGCCAGGGACACAGAAGGCCATTCTTTAACACATGAGGACTCCTGGAAGCTGGAGACGTAACTGTCTACAGCGACACTCGGGTGGCTTGAAACGGAAGCGTGAACCCCCCAGTCCTCATCTCATCTCTGTCAGGGGCCCACCTCGGGAGAACTGAGAGCGCTGCACTTCTGCAAGTTACTCCTTGTAAGGAAACCTCAGGTGGTCTTTTAGACCACTGCGCTGTGGGCTAGCCCAAAAGGGAAGTCTGCCTTGATGAATCATCAGTACATACTGGGAGGAAGGGAGGGAGGGAGGGAGGGAGGGAGAGATAAGGAGCATGAGCAGAGAAAGATGCCAAGGAAAAAAGTGTCTATGAAACAAGAATGGGACACGGAGGGTGCTGAGCAGATGTGTGCCACCAAGCCCGGCCCACTCACTATTTCTGTTTCTACATACACTTTATAATTCAAATAAACTGTTTTTGCTTTTCTTTTTATTCTCCTTTTGGGGCTCTTGGTTATGGTGAGTGGCACGAATATACTACGGATGCCCCTGTGTCCCAAGCCAAGTAGCATATCGTAAGTTGCTCAGGCCTCTATCGGTAATCAGCAACATGAAATTCAAACCAGCAAAATGAAATTTAAGTATGCAATCAGTCGGTCCTTCTTTTTTTTTGTTTTGGTTTTTTTGAGTTGGAGTCTCACTCGGTCGCCCAGACTGGAGTGCAGCGGCTGCTCCCGGCCACCGCAGCCTCGCCTGCTGGGCTCCGGCGATCCTTCCGCCTCAGCCTTGCGAGTAGCTGGAACTACAGGCGCACGCTACCACGCCTGGCTCATTTTTTGGTTTATTGTAGAGATGAGGTCTCGCCTGCCCTTCTTCTTATAGGATAGAAATGAAGACTAAGAAAGAGCACAACATGCTGGCAAACAAGTAAACAGAAGCCTAATCCATGATGCGTCCATTCCTCTTCCTGGTCACAAGCCTTGGAAGCTTTCGGTGAGAAGAGAGTAAAACAGCAGGAACGAGCTGGACGTAACAGCAAGAGTTTCAAATGCAGCCTCCTCTGAAAACCTGGCCATCTCATGAATGCTATGTCACATTGTAAGAGAAAGATGGGAGAGCTAAGGCTCCTTTAATCTTTGAAAACAATTGAGGTTTTGATATTTGAAATGAATTAACACCTTGAGATGTCAAAACCCTAGACCATCTTGGGCTCAGCTTTGTCTGCTGCTCCTACTGCTTTCAAGATTCAAGGAGCTGAAGGGCTAGGTCAGTAATTTACTCCAAGCGCTAAATGGACTAGTGCTGCTCCCCCACTTGAGGGAATGTCCCATGCTTATCCTGTAGAAGCTGGCTCTTTGAGAACACTACCTTGTTGGCAGCTGGGTGGGAAAAGGCCTGGTTCAGGAGAGAACAATGAGGGAGCCAACAGAGAGGACTGAACCGTGAGTTTGCTTGGCAGTCTGAAAAGGAAGAAGGAGACCAGAAGGAAAGAGAAGAGGGGTAGAAGAAACTGCAAGGCCACCTAAAGAAAGGGAGCTGGGAGGCCAGGGCCCACCGAGGAACACCCCCGCAGGAAGTTCTTCAAGGGAGAGGCTGGGCAACACACTCTCCTACAGTGCTTCTGCTTGGGATAGGCCTGCAACCTCATTGTCAGCAGTAAAGAATGCCTTGAGGCTGGGCTGCTGTGAGGAAAGCAAAGGAAGGCTGAAGAGGAAGGCTCGCCAGAGCCCAGCAGGTAGAGGCTGCGGTGGCCGGGAGGGCCATTGCACTCCAGTTTGGGAGACAGTGAGACTCCAACTCAAAAAAAAAAAAAAAAAGAAAGAGTGGCATGTGTGGGTTGAGGTGGTCAGCGGGGAAGGGGCGACACTGAGTGGTATCGGGAAGGAGGGGAAGGCCCAGAAACTGGCAGCAGCTTGGACGACCCCAGAAGACAACATAAAGTGGCCCTGATACCATTTCACTTGAACTAGGAAGGAAAGGCCAGTTCCACAAGGCATCAGGTCCCTGGGCTACAGGAAGGGAGGAACCCTAGAACTTTCCATGTTTTTGGAGGCAGCGCAAGGCTGTAGCTTAAAGCAGCATCCACCGAGGTGAACAAAGACCTAAACACTGTCACGCGACTGCTGTTCCCGGCAATAGTGACTCGAAAGTAGCAGCGGAGAGAGAGCGGCCATGGGGCGCTCAATGTCGGTGTGGCGGAAACTCACCTGGAGGGAGAACGCCCGCAGGGCGGGAATCGGGATTAAGGCGGCCATGAAGAAGGCTGTGACGTTGCTGATGGACGTGAGGGCCACACTGGCTCCGGTGCGCTTGAGGCATTCCCCGGTCCTGTCCTGAGGACGAGAGACCACAGCGCTGAGAGCTGCACTGGGTGGGGCCCTTGTGGAGCACAGGTGTGTGGGCAATTCAGATGTGTGGCAAAAGAACACAACTGTAGTTTATAGTGCTGGCGTCAGGGGACGAGAAAGATCTGCCACTCACTGACCCGCGACGCAAGCATCATTCAGTACTGTGTGTACAGTCACGTGTCTGCATAGTTAGTACCATCTGGGGCAGAAAGCTGCAAGACAGTGTCTTAAATTTTAACATGATTTAAAAGGGGCCTGGTGGAGGAGGGCGACAAAGTGACAGAAAACTCCAGAGAAGCCAATGTGGGCTTTGGAAAGGTACGGCGATTAGGTGTAAAGTGCCACACTAAAATAAACACCCATGTTTCTAAGGGTGCCCTGAACGGGACTCTTGGGGCATCTCACAACTAACACATGTCCTGAGGATCTTCCAGCTTCTTTTATTTATTTGGGCCAGCAACATGTCATTGCACGTGGGGCTGAGATATTTACCAGGTCAGACTGAGAAAAATTAAAGGACAAGCACTCAGGAACAGAGGGGGCTGTGGATGTCCCTGGAGCACTCTTCTTCTGTTTTTCTATTACCTCAAAAGGGATTCTTTTATTCTGTCCTGTTTCACTAAAGGCATGAGCCAGAAGGAAAACATCATCCACACCAACGCCGAGGGCGAGAAACGGTAAAACCTACAGCAAAAACAGAGGACGGTGGCATTAGACACGTGCGATCCATGACCTCACAGTGAAGAATTTACATCATCTGATCATTTATGTCCCCCAAAACTCCCCGTTTCAGCTCACAGTAGAACTTACATGTTTCTATTTCTAAGGTTCACGTAAAATAATTTTTTTTTTTTTGAGACGGGGTTTCACTCTGTCGCCCAGGCTGGAGTGCAGTGGCACGATCAGGGCTCACTGCAGCCTCTGCCTCCTAGGCTTAAGTGATCCTCCTGCCTTATAGGCATGAGCCACAATGCTCAGTTAATTTTTCTATTTTTTGCTAGAGATGCGATCTCACTATGTTGCCCAGATTGGTCTCAAACTCCTGGGCTCAAGCAATTCTCCCGCCTTGGCCTCCCAAAGTGCTTGATTACAGGCATGAGTCACCACGCCTGGCCTCATGTACAACAATGTTTTAAGTTAATAAATGAGAAGGACTCTCGCTTATCTAAAGCACTGGTTCTCAGAGTGTGACCGCTGGTCTAGCATCAGTGGGAACTGGTCAGAAGTACACATTCTTAGTCCCCCGCCCAGACCTACTATTGGTTAGAAACTCTAGGGACGGGGTCCAGCAATCTGAGTTTCCACAAGCCCTCGGGGTGATTCCAACACCCACCAGAGCTTGAGAACCAGGACCCTCGAAAAAGACACAAATACATTCCTCTCGGGGAAATGTGTCCCCTCAACAAGGTCTACTGCCCCGAGGGGTCCACTGCAAGCGAGCACTTCCCTGAGACAAGGGGGGGCCTCAGTGGAAATGGCCGTGAGACCCTTCAGGTGAGTGGGCACAGACGCGGCCAGCCGGGCTGAGCGGGGAGGAGTGGTGGGCGGATGGCTCCTTGAGTACCTGAGTTGTCGCAGCATTAAAGGAAATCCCGATCAACGAGCACAGGCCCAATCCTGCAGCCACTGACAGTGCAACCAACAGGACGCCAGCCAGCCCCACGGCACCCTGGGACTTGGAGCAGTCCCAGCGCAGCATGGTTAAACAGGCATAGGCAAGCTGCAAGCAGAACAATGGGGAGGGGATAGGGCGGGGCAGGGGGACACAAAACAAAAGCCAAACATTAGAATGTGCCATGATTCTAATGTTTCCCCCCACCCGTCACCCCAGATCCCAAAGTAGAACCTACGAAACCCAACAACAGGCGAACCGTACATTGAGGACGTCACACGAAATGACATGGAGTCAAAGGTGGGCAAACTGCAGATGGGAAAAAACCGCCACACAACGGCCGCTTTGGGAACCGTCATGAAGCCGAGCTCTCTCTGTCTTGGACGCGCGTGGATGTTAAGAGCAGTTAAAAAGCGGGGCCGATCACGGAGAGGCCAAAAAACCAACGCAATCCCAAACCCCCAGGAGCACGGAATCCATCGTTACCATCAGCAAGTAGCCGCTGGCCACTCGGATGACACTGACGTCAGAGAAGGACTTCAGGATGTCATCCAGGGTCGTGGTGGTGAAGGACAGGACCTTCTGAGTGGAGTTCTGCGCGACGCTTTGATGAACCACCTGCGGTCACAACATGAGGCTACGTTCCCAAGTGGAATTAAAGCGTCCACAAGCTTCTGTCGCGCAGACCTCCGATGACACGCCCCGCCCCTGCCTTTTATCCCGTTGCAGTAAAACAAAAGTCATGCGTGATTTAAGAAGAGGGAGGGGAGCTGGACTTGGACGAAGGTTAAACGCCCCTGGGTTAGGACAATGAGGGCTCGGTATTGGCGTGGGCCCGCGCTCGTGGAATTCACTCCAAGCACCGCATTTATTTTGCATGCTGAGACTAATGCTGTTCACCTGTCCACAAGGCTGCAACCCATCTGCAGTTCCCCCCTAATCCGAAACAACTCATTCTTGCAGGCACTCCGCCCCGCCCCTCGTTCATTTGCTGGCCACTTTTAAAAGGTCACATGCAGCTCAGTGGAGGTCACTGCTTGGGAAACAAAGGCCAGCGCCTGTCACATGACCTGACCAAGGGGCCTGCAGCTGTGAACAGATTCTCTGCCTTGCTAATGTTTTCCAGACACCTTCGCCTGCTCACCGAGTGTTTTCTTAAGCACTGCCGTGCCTTGGCTATGGAGTTCACAACTGGTTACCAAGCATGTTTCGGGGCATCCCAGTGAAGGCTGGCGTCTCTTAGATAGTATCTCAAGCGTTTTAGTCACAAGGAAAAGGGAAACAGCTTTCATCCCATCAAGTTCCCAGAACTACAATCTGTCCTGAAAGTCAAGCTGATGGGCAAACGGGGCGAAGGAACGGCGACGGCGAGGAACTGAGCAAGCGGCAGGCTTGCCCCCAGGCTCCACGGTGGGCGTACCTCCACATACGTCCTCTGCCAAGCCTCCAGGATGGCGGCTGCTTTGTCTTCGTTCCAGTTGAGGTGCGAGACGTAGTCGTACCCCTTGAAGTGCTCATACATTTGCTTGGGAGTCATTAACTGGAACATGGTCTGCAGAGCGTGGGCACTGTGGCAGGGTTAAGGGGCGAAGAGCCACGTCAGCATCCCCAGGAAGCCCTTCCTGCTGCTTTGAGTCCCCAGCGAGCACCCCCGCGTCACCGGCAACTCCTTCCTTCTCCTCAAGCACATGTTTCCATTAAAATGGGGCCAGGATGGTTATTTTATTTAATAGATGGATGTACCACATTAAAGGTGTAACCTTACAAACCTCTTACAGATATACCCCAAAATTAAATTAATAGGCAATTTCCTTTCTCAGTTTCTATTCCACGAAACAGGAAGGGGAGAAGAGTAGATAGCTTGGCCAGATATACCGGGCTCAGCCATGCTTGCTTGCTGTGCAGAAAGCCCAGACAACGGTGTTCCCCGGGGAGAAATCTCAGACACAACGCCTGACACTTGACTGACCAGAGTGACTAAGTGCACAAAGGATCATTCTTGCTGAGACTCTACTTCTGGTCTTTTCCTTCAACGGCATGGCAAGTGGTTCAGCTCCCATCACGTACCTCTCACATAACATGGCCCTGCCTACTCTATACTTGCCCCAGTGTTCTCTATAATGGGCAGATCTCCTAAAAGCTTCAAGTCAGCCACGACAGTCTGGTGCTTTCTCAAGCTGGACTGGTCTGCTCGTATTCCCTAGTATTCGATCACACCCGCCGGCCAGCTAACATAACAAGCTAAGTATTCATACAAATAGACTTGCAGATGTCAGAGGGGAAGTGGCTTTGGGGAAAAGGAGGAAAGGCTGAGGCACGAGTGGTCCCCGACGTGCTGGCATACCTGACAAGTTTCCCGGTGCTGTTCTTGACTGTGCCACCCACAATCAACTCCTCCTGCCAGTGCATATATTTTCTGGATAATCCATGACACCCACCATTCAAAACAAGGGCCATATCAAGAGGCTGAAATAAAAAGACAGCCACATAATTACGGGAATTAGTAGGCAGGTCACATGCCTTGTTAAAACCCAGTGCATTAAGGGCTTGTTTGTTTCAGAGAGAACATTAATAACAAGGCTAATGAGAGGCGTCCGGCAAATCTTACAGCAAAATTTAGTGCTATCAACAAACTCAGCTGCGTAGACAATAAAGGTCGTGGCCGATGAAAGTTTAAAAATGAAAATAGTAAAGAGAAACGTGAACAGAAACAAAAAAACCAGGTTTTTCTCTCCGCCCCTTCTGAGCGCAATCAATGTTGACCGTACTTACTTTGGTTGAATTTTTGTTAGGAGCTGTGGTGGGGCAGTCCCGGTCGGCCGGATTCAGGCAGGGGCGGTCCATGTAGCCATGACCAACCTCAGCCTTATTCAGCATTTCCTCCCAGCTGTCCACTTGATAGTTTATTTTCTTTAACTCTTCTAGGAATTCCAAAGGGTCAAAGTTTGTCCACCGCAAAGGAGGCTTACCTCTGCGAAAGAGATTAGGAGACCATGACAAGAGCCTTCCAAAACCATCGCAAAGCAACAAGGCTGCAGATAGCACATCTGTACTGGAAGAGACTTTGGGTAATGCTGCAATTCCAGGACTAAAATAATCCTTTCCAGTATATCTGTAGGCATTCTCGAGTGAGGAAAGTCATCCGTGACTGAACACGGCCAGCAGACCGCTCATACATTAACACAGGCATCGAAGAATCTTTAATGACTGATATGGTGTATTTAATATCTGATACAGAAACAACAGTCAATGGGTGCTTCTAGGCAGACTGAGATCCAAAATTAAAAAAAAAAAAAGGTGGGGGAGAATCACCATGTCAAATTAGCACTTGCCAGCCTAATAACTGCTCTGCAAATGTCATTAATCAAAATATTTGATCTCTGCTGCCTTTAACAATCCCATGCTTCTGAACTCTCTCAGACAGCCTGGCCGTGGCGTGGGCAAGCCCCCTGCAGCCTCTGCCATCACAGCCACTTCCCCCCACACTCACTTTTGAATTTGTGCTGTTGACAGACCAGAAAGGCTTTTGGCTGCCTGTTATGTGGTTCAAACCACACTGTAGCTGCTTAACCAGGCTGAAGTCATTATTCAGAATCTCCCAACCAGAAAACACAAAACCCCTTATTTCCCATCGAAAACTGTACACTGAAGGTCAGGAGATGGCCACTGCAAATTGCTTTTGCAGATACGTGCAAGCCAGGACAGAAACAATAACCCAAGCCCTAACTCTTGCATAATTAACTGAAAATGTCTGCGTCGATTAACAATTATTCTTTAAACGACGCAGTACCTATAATATCCAACTGCTAAACTGTGAAGCATTCCCTGCCACAGCCTTCAAAGATAGAGGATTTTCCCCTTAAATGCCATTAATGCGGTCTAAAGGAAGGGTAGCATTTTACTTCACAGGAGGACCTTGAACTTTTACGCAAAAGACTTCATTCTGACATGTACCCACTTATAAACACTCTCCTTAAAAAAGTAAGTGAGATGTGTAAGTGCCTGGTTTACAAAGCTACAAACATTTTAAAGAGTTAAAAATCACACATACTCTGCAACAATTTGCATTTTATTTGCATATAAATGGGTTGGTAAAAGTGAATGAAATTTAATGATGCCTACAGAACTTTTTTTTGAAAGGAGGAAAAACATTCTGCTGAAATCCCCTCTCCCCCCACTATTCACTCAAAAAATGCACGCGGAATTTCAATGTTTTTATTTCTTGTTCAAAACTGAGATAGAATCAACAACGATGAGCAATATCAGAAACACTGAGCCCTAGAGCCTCAGAAACCAGACATCTGAAAACACAGTCGCACACTTACAGGAGGTATGCGGTTCCGGATTGCAACTTCGCCCCTTCCCAGAAGCAGTCCAGAGGTGTAATAATTAAACAAGGGTAAAGGTATTCTATTATCTGTCAAAGTTAAAAAGAATAAGGCCACACATTTAGGCTGACACATACCGTGGGGGTGTTTTGGGGAACTTTGTGCAAACAACAAGAGGAAAATATACCTGATCCATGTAACCTGTTTCCGTGATAAGTTCTCCTGATTTGTAACACAAATGTTCCAATTTCCACTGCCTAGGAAAATGAAAAGCAGAGATGAAAACTTCTCGGGGCACTGAAGTAAGGAAACCGGAGCAAAATCAGCATGGTTAGAACATGTAAAAAGAACGGCAATTTCGATCACTTTTAAGCATCTGTCAAAACGAGCAGCGCTTTTGCCAAGTAGAGACCCAGCAAGCTTGCTTTAATGAATAGATGATACTCAGTCGTAATTAACATGTGGGGTGTTTATGCAAATGAATGCTACCAAAGTACTTGAAAAGTCTTGTTTCCTTAAGTGTTTTCCCAATCATCTTGTTTACACCATTAATCTGCTTTTCTACATACATTAAACAACTTCAGGGCAGCCCAGTTAAATGATCACAAACTCAAAATAGGTGGGGACTAAATTAGTGAGGTTTGTAAGAACTGACATGTGCTCAGGTGGGGAGGTGCTACTGCTGGTTTTATTGGCATGTCCTTTTTAGCAGGTGGTGTTCCAAAGGAACTTTCCTGCTCTTTACCATGAACGTTATAAACAACAACAATTGCCAGGCAGGTTGAATTTCCACTCGATTCTCTTCTAGAGACGTGATACTAAATACACGAATCAAGAATTCATTTGGAGTTCTACCGTCTCTAGAAGAGCTCTACAGAAAGAAGCCCGGCCTTTCTGAGTGTGTGAGAGGAGTGAATCTAAGTTTAAAAAAGAGGAAACTTGGAAGGTGTGAAGATGGAATATCCAAGACAAAAAAAGGAAAAAAACTCCCCCTAAACTGCTCAGTTATTGATCTCCTTTCTTCACCCAAAGGAAATTTCTGGACTTGACTTTTCCCTCTCTCTCGAGCCGCCTCCTCCTAGATCCTTCCTGTATGTCTCTCGGTAGCTGCCGAAACGTCACCATCCTGCTAAGTTTTCTTTAACCTTGAGTTGCAAATGACCTCTATCTCCTGAACTCTAATTTAGAGCACAGGCCGGTCAGATCTGTGTGACACCTGAAGCACCTGTCCTGCACTTGGCTTTGCACACGCCTACCTGTAGGGCTGTCTTTCCTCTCCTGGGCAGCAGGGTCTAAGTTCCCCATCCCCACCCCCATTCTCTTCCCACCTGTGCATCCACACACGTTTGTATTTCAATTCCATATCGCATCAATATAGAATACCAAGCATGAGTAGGTTCTCAATTAATATCACTTGATCAACTCACTCTTATTTACACTTGCTTGAGGAGGGCATGGCTGTGCATTAGGAAAAAAACCACTGGGCTTGGAGCCAGAAAAGGGGTTTAAAATCTGGCTCTGTCGTTTAATAACTGTATGAACTTGGACAAATGCTCTAATTAGTGTAATTCCCAGTTTTCTCATCTAAAATGACGGGATGGGTTGAACTACAGACGTTCTTCAAGTTCATCCCAATGTATCAAGTGTCTCTGGGTCCATCTCAGATAAAGAAGAATGCCATTTCATTGTAGCTCTTGCTACATCTTCTGAAGCGTGCAGGTGACAAGCATTAACACCACTTTGGGCATGCTTTATGGTGGCACTGGGGCACCATTTTCAGGCTCCTCACAGAGACTCTACTTGCAAATTCTGCAAGCCAGCAGTGGGTAGTTGCTTCCCTGCAGCGCTCTCTACAGACTGGCGGGGCACGTTCGCCTGAGAGAAATGCTAGAACGCCTCCCGACATCTTCCAAGGTCCTTTCATCCGCCCATCACATCTTGTCCTGGGGCCCGCCTGAGGATAAGGGAGCACGTGTGATCATAAACCCAGTTTGCCGATGAGGAAACAAGAGTATGCAAAGACAAGTGCCTTGTCCCAGGAGGTGCTGGTCGCAAGGATCCTGTGTCATGCTAGAAGGGGTTAGAGCCAATCGAGGGGAGTCCACAGGGAGCCAAGGTTGGAGCAGGCACATGTACAAATCTTCATTTTATTCTCTCCTCTCGTTCTCCCTGGCTACGGAATATGCCTGTACTGCCATCTCCTTACCTCTGCTGGGAAAAATGAATCATGCTGGTCAACCCCTCAATTAAGAGGTGCTAGAAAGCCTGGGGGAGGGGATGGAACTCAGCACTGCCCTGGAATGGGATTGAGGGATGGCGATCTCAATGGGCAGTCAATCAACAAACTCTGAATGCCTCCCTACTCTAAATGCAGGGGCACGACAATGGATGAGAGGTGGTCCCTGCCCTGAAGTGACTGACAGGTTAGATAGATAACATAAGAAAAAGGACAGTTATTTTGTTCGAGAACTCTTCCTCATCTCTGACTCTATTCACAGCACAGATAAGTTAGCTATATGACACTACAGGGTGACTTTTTAAAAGGTGTGTGTGAATACAAAGTAACAAGAAGTCACTTCCTTCTTTCTTTTCTTTTTGTTGCACAGTGTCTAAGTTGATCAAAGGCCATTCAAAATGCAATTACTCCAAAAGCAATGAAGATAACTACATGATAGCAAATATTCAACTTGAAAACAAAAATCCTAAGCAATGGAACACCTCTCTGCCTGGGTGTACAGTTACCCAAGTGGGTCACGACGGTACTCCTTTGTGGACAACGCCGAGACACTTACTGAGAATACGTTATAAAGCAACGCACTTGCTTCGTGACGAAACTCTAGAAGCAAATCAAGATTGAAAAATAAAGATCATTTCAGTAGAAAATAATGCGAACAAATTCTCCCGGTACATCTCCAGGGCAACCTTATTTCCTAAAACGAAGGGGCTTGAGCCAGTCGCCTCCTCGCCCTGCCTTACCTGCCGCACACATAGAGGCGGACTTGGCCGGCCTTACCTGTTGTACATGTACACGTGGACCTGGCTGGCCTGGAGCGCCGAGTCCAGGTGTTGAAGAAGCGCTTCTGTGGTCAGGACATTCGCTCCTTCTTCTTTCGGGGTCTGTATCATGAGTTGAGGATTAAACATAGCCTCTTCTCCAATCTTCTGGCGAGTATAGTTTAATTCGCGACTCACGCGTCCACCAACTGACAAACACGTACAGATTCCAGTTAGAACAGCACAATCCCTGCAAATTTACGTCGTCTCTGTCGTCTCACTCACCCACACAGGATACGCAACAAATGAACGCCAGTCATAAAACGGGTAGATGTTTCAGGAGTGACATTCACTTTACGATGCGTGGCAATGTTCACTTTCCCAATAACGAACACAACAAAGTACTCAAGACGCCCCTCTTGCCTGTCACCTATGCAAACCTGAGGTACGCTTGCTTTGCACACATCCCAACGAATGCACCATGTGCTTACGGGGGAGGGGGTGAGGAAAACTTGAGACACTTTTCCCTCTGCAGACCAGAACAAATAGCCCCGTTACAATTTCTTTCACTTGTATAAACAATGGGCCCCTGGGCACATTTCGAGATAAATGGCTTCAATTTACACTCTTCTCCTAAGTAATCTGGCGAAGGTAACAAGGAAATGTTTCTCCTCCCTGGAAAAAGAAACAAGGAGAGGTGGCAAGTATGTATTCAGCACAAAACCTGCCAGGAGAAGATAAATAATGTGATTCGAGTCAGATGCACTTGGGAAACCGCACTTGAGAGGAACAAAATGTATCCGCCGCAGCCATGAGCCGGGTTCTATCAGACTCACCTGGTCAGCGTCCAGGAAACACAGGTGCCAGGTTCTGAGTCAACCGGGACCAGGAGCCTGTGTTTTGGACGCTCCTCAGCTGATTCTGAACCTGCCGCCCAGGCTGAGGAGTCCTATCCAACACCCACCCGGCTCTCCAGCAGGCTGGGCATGCTTTCAACAAGACACGGGGGACCCCACAAAACCATCGACACCATTACTGCCAATTCCTCCTTCCTTCTTGCATCTGCAGGTTCAAGGTTATGTTCGAGGATGGCTCTGGACCAAGCCAAGCTCAAACTGCTGCACCTGCACCGGGAGGTGTGTCAGGAAGATACGAGAGGGGATCCTAGCGCCCCCTCATCCCCCCCAACTCAAGGGCAAAGGAAGCGGGTCTGAATGGCTCCTGGAGTCACTGATAAGTTGAGTGTTTGCTGAAAAGTGGGCCTCCAGCTACAGCTTAGAAAGAACTCAGCGATCATAGCTTTCCCACGAGGAGGAGGAATCCTTTTTCTTCAAGTTTAGTATTCAAGGACATAAACATTTGGTTTGGACAAGTAAATAAGGACTGGGAACAGCGGGTTGTTTAGTTCTCTTGGCATATTTTATAAACAAGGGGGCAGGCTAAAAAGCAAATAATGCCCTCATTAGGAAAACGAGTGCAGATTCACAGCCCGGCAGGAGCTTCTGCGCAGGTTCCCGCAGACGCCAAGGCCAGGAGCTCCGTGAGGGGGGTGGGAGGAATGTATCGGTCGGTTAATAACAAGGGTTACGGCTCCTGTGTGCAGAAGACTTTGAAAACGTCAGGGGGGAGTGCCGAGGACCTCGCAACCCATTTGAAGTTAAAGAAAGAAGAACACGGGACACAACCTGCACAGAGCTGCGCTTCCCTGTGGCTGCTGGCCTTTTCTGGGGTGGAGGGGCCTTCCCAAAGCCGCCTGCAGGCAGGGCCCGCTCATTCCAGCGGGACTCACAGTACATTATACACCGCAGACTCCCGGCCAATTAGCGGGTGAACTGAATTGAACTCAACCCACATTCTCCAAAGGCAGAAGAGCTGTTTGAGGCTAAAAAGTCAGTTATTCGTCCAGAGGTCACTTCTGAAAGTTACAGAGCTGCACGCCCAGTAGCTCAACGCAGCTTTTGCTCGACCTCTTTCTTTCCCCCTCTCTCTTTTGAGTCAGAGTCTCATTCTGTCACCCAGGCAGGAGTACAGTGGTGCGATCATGGCTTGCCACAGCCACAACCTCCTGGGCTCTGGTGATCCTCTCTATTCAGCCTCCCACGTGGCTGGGGCCAAAAGGACGCGTCACCACACCCGGCTAATTTGTTTATTTTTTTTGTAGAGATGAGGTCTCGCTATGTTGCCCAGGCTCCAACTCCTTCTTTTAACGTATTGACATTACATCTGATGCTCTAAGCCTAGAAATCATTCCCATTTCTACCTGCCTCCTCAAACACCCGTGTAGTACATGGTTTTTTATTCTGCTGGAAACTTCACGGGGCTTAAAACCACGATGGAAAAACAAACCACAAAGTACCCCCCATCCCCACCCTTGGTGAGCGCAGGCAACCTCAGTTGGGTAGGATTCTACCCCTAGGCCTCAGCAGACCCACCGCCTGGAAGTATTTAACCTATGAGGCAACGACCTAAGAGTCCGGCCCACACAAAAATAGCAAAACCAAACGTGGGGTTCCTGGTACTTAGAAGAACTTTTAGCTACACTCTTCCAAACCAGCCTTATAATGGATCTATTATTTTACCATAGGGGTTTTCAGAAATGATACTGTTTCCTACTAGATGTAAAATGCAACTCAGGGTCGCCACAATGTCACCTTTTTAGATGCTTTAAAATGCATATTTAAATAAACACTTCTTTAATTTTCATTTTTTTGAGTTGGGGTGTTTGTTGCCCAGGCTGATCATAATGGCATAATCACGGCTCACTGCAACCTTGACCTCCTGGGCCCAGCCGATCCATCTGCCTCAGTTTCCCAAACAGCAGGGGCTATAAGTGTGCACCACTATGTCTGGCTAATTTTTAAAATTTCTTGTAGAGACGAGGTCTCCCTATATTGCCCGGGCTGGTCTTGAACTCCTAGGCTCAAGCAATCTTCCCACCTTGGCCTTCCCAAAGCACTGGGATTACAGGTGTGGAGCCACCACACCCAGCCGTAAATAAACATGTTTTAATAAAGGCATTTGTTGTGCTTCTAGAATTGGAAAGTTTTTTGCTCTTCCATCTCTTTGCTCGTGATAACTACACATACTTTGCCAATGTGGCAAGTTTTACCCAGACTACCGCCATAGGGTGACTAAGAATTAGAGTTGAGACCTTGAATTCTAAGGTTTTGTCAAACACCTATGCTGTGTATACAAGTCCACTCACTTTTACAAATCACATGGCCATACTTTACCTAATGTTTCATCTTCTATTTAACCAATACTAATGTTTCTGCAAAACGGTTCAGTACGTCAATAAAGTTTAGTTGCCATCCATTTTGTTAGGCCAACGGTCATAATCAGGCTTGTTCATCCAGCAGCATCTGTGGTGTGCACCACATGCCAGGTGCAAGGATGCCGTAAACATGACCCGTGTGGTCTCTCACCAAGAGGTGTGTGCTGGCCAGTGAAACAGACAAGCGATGGACAGGCAAACCCAGAAGATAATTTCACAGTGTAACAAGTGCCACGGGGGAAATAAAGATGGTGATGGCCAGGCTTGGTGGCAGGGAAGAGGGAAGACTACTTCAAGTGGGAAGACATCACGGGAAGTAATATTTAAGGTGACTCTGAAGCTCTGGGAACAGTGTCACGGGCCGAGGAAGCAGCAAGTGCAAAGCCCTCAGATTTGGCTTGTTGCAGGAAGAGAAAGAAAGCAAGTGTGGTTGGAGCTTGGTGAGCCCACGATGATGTCATCCGCTCCCTTGCGCTCGTAGACTTAGCTCCTTCTCGAGTGTACCTGTCATAAACTGCACGGCATTCATATGCCCTTACATCAGTTTCCACCCAAGGCACTCTGGAACAAATGGCCAGAAACAGAGACTCCTCTGGACAGAACACGCTTATGGACTCGCTTGACTTTTGCTCTCCTAGCAAATGCCTACTCTGAATCACTGCTGAATGATGGCCGAAGCGGCTCATGACCTCGCTGTCTTCTTCACCGTCGTGGCTGCGAAGTTCTGAGTTCGGGAAGTCCCACAGAACCTATTTCTGATGGCTGAGATGGAGGTCATGGCCTGGGAGAAAACGGGTGTCTTCCTTCTCTTTCCCATTTTCAAGGTCAAAGTCCTTCTGATCGATGTACATGAAAGGCTACGGAGGAACTATATATATATATATTTTTGAGTCGGAGTCTCACTCTGTCGCGCAGACTGGAGTGCCGTGGCCGCTCCCGGCCACTGCAGCCTCGACCTGCCGGGCTCCGGCGATCCTCCCGCCTCAGCCTTCCGAGTTGCTGGAACTACAGGTGTGCGCTACCACGCCCGGCTGATTTTTTGATTGATTGTAGAGATGAGGTCTTGCCAAGTTGCTCAGGCAATCCACTCACCTCGGCCTTCCAAAGTGCGGGATGACAGGCTGAGCCACTGAGCCTGGCCTCGGAGGAACTATTAAATCCAGTATTTGTTATGTAGCTGCAGGTATAGAGAAGCACGCTAACAGCCATTCTTGCCTGGTGGTGTCTAGGGGATACTATTTACCTGCTTCCCTTTTTTGGACTTATTTCTATTTCTTAACTTTTCTGCAATAAATACGTTTAATTATAAACTTCTACATGACAGGAAAAAGAAAACGAGACATAAGGGCTACTTGGCAGAGATCTGAATGAAAAATAAGCTCATCGCAAACAATAATATGCGTCTCTGTTCTCACTCATGTGTGAAAGCTAAAAAAAGTTGATCTCATGAATGGGGTTATTACCAAAGGCTGGGAAGAGCAGGAGGGCGGGGGATAAAGAGAGATTAGCTGATGGGTACAAACCTGCACTTAGATAGAAGGAGTAAGTTCCAGTGTTTGGTAGCAGTAGGGTGACTGCCAATATAGTGTATATTTCAAAATAGCTAGAAGAGAAGATTTGGAATATTCTCGATACAAAGGAATGATAAACTGAGGTGATGGATATCCCAATTACTCTCATCTGATCGTTACACATTGTATGTTGGGATCAAAACATCATCTATGTTTTTATATCATAAACATATAAGTATTATGTTATATATTCATAACACTAATAAACTGTTAAAAAATGCATCTCCACCACATCCTGAAGTCCTCTTTTATTAACAACAAAGTAACTACTGACCCATCTGAACAACACTCAGGGAAAAAAAAAACATCATCTAAGGATCCTGAGACACAAAATAACCTTTTAAATTTGTGTAGTACCTTCCAC